CAAATTTTAAAAAGAAGTAATCGAGCCAAAAGATGTGGTAGTAGTATCCATAAGTACTAGAAAAATAGGGCTGTGAAGAGTCATCCTTAAAATAAACACTAAAAACAACCCAATGCATCAAGATAATTTCCTGTCCCAGATACACTCCATCATGTTGTTCAGGGCATTTTCCTCGCAGCATCATAAGTCTTCAAAATTCTCATTGAGTTTGTTTCTACATTTATGGTCTTTCCTTCCCCAATAAACTCTAAGATGCCCAAACTGTAGAGAATTTGTTTGCTGTATTCTTAGCTCTGAGAACAATAAATACTAGTTGACTGCTTCCCATTTTAGGTTTTAAAATTTAAATTTTTGTATACTAATTTTTAAGGAGGAAAGGTGTATTCAATTTGTAAATGTGAGGTTTTAGAAATATGCTTCACATCAGATTTTTTTTAAATAGAATAGTAAATCTTGAGTGCATTTTTGACTCGAAAGAAAGAATATTTTACAAGCCTGTAGAAATTTTGTCCAATAGTTTAACCTTGTGGAAGAACTATAAAAAGAACTGTCCTGACTATGCAGCTATAAAAATGTATTTCTTTTTTATCATTATAGCTAAAAAATTTCCCATACAAGAATGCATTTTTTCCTAAAAGCATAGATTTGAATATACAGTTATATCCTCATATCTATGGGACATTTGTTTCAGAACATTTTATGTTGATACCCCAAATCCACAAGTGCTTTGCAAAAAATGACATAGTATTTGCTTAGAACTGATGTGTATCTCCAATATGCTGGATGGCATCTTTGGATTACATATGCCTAATGCAATGTAAATAGTCATGATACCATATTATTTGGGGAATAATGACAAGATAAAAAGCCTGTACATGTTTGGTGCAGATGCCATTTATTTAAAGCCGATATTTCTTCCCAATATCTGATTTCAAATTGAATTGGCAGATATGGATCCACAAAGATGGAAGGCTGACTGTGTGTCCATTGGAACAAGTGGCTGCTGTGGTAGTGGACTGGTATTTCTCTGTTTCTCAGCGTGGTTGCAAAGTTGCTTCTCTGAAGCTGCTGAGCAGAATGTGGAGTGTGGAAGGTCAGCCATGTGTCAAAGGAGCTCACAGGGCCATGTATGCAAGCCATAGTGAAGCACTCCTATGCTCTCCTTGTTTAGGGAGACAGGAGCGCTCAGGAGGTTAGATGCGGCCTACAGAAACTGAATGCCTGGGCTGGAATGTCTTATGTCTGAGTCTGTTCACTGAACAGCAATGAGTGTGGAGCTACTCAATTCCTTTTCTCTTCTGCTTTTATTGAAAGAGATCCATTAAGTCTTTCTACAACTGGTGTTGAGATTTCCCACACAAGCCCATAAGTGTATGGCTAATTAACAATGATACAATGAACTCTCTGGAAATGATTAAAGCTCACAACAGAAAGGGATGCAGTCTTTCTAATCTTCAGGTTTCTTTTTAAAGAGAATGATTGTCACCATACTAAGTGCATAATCAGTATTTTCATTATTAGGTATAAAATATAAAAGAAAATGGAACCAAAGAAAATGTACAAAATTCTAGATACAACAAGAAAAGACAGGCTTCATCAGTTTTATGATGTTCAGAGTTACTTAAAATGTAGCATTCAGGCAAACAAAAAACAAAAACAAAGCACCAAAACTGAAATTGAAGAAGACACTGTAGAGGATATAATCAGTATCTCAAGCCTAAAATGATTCTTAAACCATCTGGGACTTTGTGTCCAGAAGGATTGGGGTCCTGTAAATGATTTCAACATGTGATCTCAGAAAAAAATAATGGGAATTCTGAGTCTGTTTCTTATCTGCATGACTGGAATGAGTTACTCATGTGACTACCATAAATTGAAAAAATAGCATTTGAATCCCGTAAAATAGTGACTAGTATACAATCTGCAGTCATTAAATGCTTAATAACTATTACTTCTTTTTGAAAAAGAGAGCCAAAAATTAATTTTATCTGTGTCCACATAGGTGAAAGTATAAAGGTGAGTAATTGTGCTATGTTGTGACTGTACTCGGTAGATGAATGGACAGTCATCTAGTAGTCTAGTAACACTTGAACATCTAATAGATTTTAACCTTGCTAAACAATTAACAGGGAGGATGATTTATTTGTTAGGATATAATGAATTATTTTAAAGCATCCCAACCAATCTCTGTTCCACAGCAGTCAAATACTAACTAAACTCATTGGAAGAGGGGTTATCTCTTTATGAACGGCACAAGCATACTTCTAAATAATAGTTTGCAGTTATAACAGGAAGAGAGACAAGCGAGGCATTAATATTCTTAGTGCTGTACCAGAGTCATTAAGAAGACATGCCAATAACTGTGGAGTATGGCTTCTTACATGATGATTGTGCATCATGGGACTGTAAAGTATCAGAAAGCTTTTAGCTGGACCAAATCTTTTTCTTTTTCTTTTTTTTTATTGACATCAGTTATTTTTATTTTAAAGAAAGAAAAAAAATAAAAACAGTGGTACAAAATCTCAAAACAAGATTTTAGGAGAGTAACAATGGTTAGTACATTGTGTGTTGTTATTGCCAAAGTAGTTTCTCATATTACAAGACATAGGCAAGAAATAATAAGCAAATAACAT